CCCGCTGACAGGCACCCTCTCTGCCTCCAGCCGTTCGACTATAGCAGAGGTCAGAGTTAAGACTGCACGGTTCACCAGACCTGCTCTGACAGACACTTAGCCATATTTTATGACCTCAGGCAATTCATTCAACTATCAAGTGTTCGGTAATGGCGTGCTGCTCTTGTGGGGTTTGGTTCGACCATCACAAGAATTAAAGCACGTCAGCCACTCTAACCTCAAAAGTAGATTTTTCTTCTTCGGTTAAAGAGAAAAAAAAAAACTCATTTTGTAGGAGCTATTTTAACCCAGGACGTACTTTCGGCAAGCCAAATAATCCTCTGATTTCAATTGGGTTTCTGAATTATTTTCTTTCCACAGCGAGCGACAGCCAATGGCCTGCAGAAAACAGGAAGTTTCTAAAGATGTCACTTATCAGGGTCTGGTGTAAATGGCGCGTTGTAACGCAGAAAGAGAATCCCTCTGAATGTATTGTCCTTAAAAAGGCCTGCGGGTGTGCCGTGTGGTGTTGCTGTAGAGGCTCGTGTCGGGTGGTCACACCACGCTCTTCTCTGTAGTCCAAGTTGCTCCTTGTTGCTTTTTCGTTTCGTCTTTTAAATTGGAAGCTGTAGCAAGCTGACTTTGGGACAGAAGAAGTCTGTGAATACTTAAAGTTGTCCTGCAGGTGTTTTTTATTTGAGTTTTTTTGTCTTTTTTTTCTCGTTTGTTCACAGGAGGCCACGTGCTTTTGATAAAATATGCTGTTTTGATTGTAAAGTACAGCCGTGTAGAATCAGCCTTTTGAGCCATTTTAAAAGAAGGATTCACAGCCCTTTGCAAATTTCCAAAGATTGTCAAGATTTTGAAAACGACTTAAAGCCATGTGGTAGCAGTGCATTGTTTTTAGCATTTATAATGAGGACAGGAGCAAATCGATCGTTTTGCCCCTCAGAGATGTTCAGGCTTTGGACCCACTAAACAAAACTATTTTTTTCCTCTTTTCTTATTGTTTTGAAGAACTTTAAATGCCCTTTTGTATTGTCTGCCAGTTTCTTAGAGCTAAGATGCAACCTTGAAATGCTAAAAACCCTAGCAAAATGCCTTAGACTTCGTCCGTTCTTGTTCTTGTACATTACACCGCTGTCTGTATAAATTTGTATAATGAATTGTGTACAATATTGAATGGGTGCATCATCGCTCAACTCTTCTCAGCTGCTGGAGACGTGTTCTATGTTTAGTTATTTCCTCCCTGCCCCTGCCCCCTCTCACTGTTCTATAGAAAATATGACACATAGGGATATTGAAGCAATATGTATTATACTATATGGACTTTCTGAAGAAAGCTCACTGATGTTTTCCCCAGATACTTTTTTCCCCTCTGCATCCTTCACAGGAGTCACTGTAAACCCGCATCCATCTTTGTACCCCTAGTGTGTACGTGTGTGTGAGGGTTTTATGCAAAATTAGATATACAAGAGAAGTTAAAACCACAGTTATGCAAGTTGTGAACTAATATGGCTTCGCTGATGCTATTTGCCTTGTAAATAAAGAATTCTGTTATTGCATTATTTAATCCAGTGCCTCTTATTTCCTGAGTGCTTGGTGATGTTTGGCAGCATAATGCACAAAGAAATTTCCTTTTCAGGCCTTCTGAAATATGTGGATGTATGAGCTGCCTGTTAATTAATTTTGTAAGTATTTAGGCTACCTGATTATTTTAATATAGGAAAAAATATTATAGTAAATGCATGTACACATTTTAGAGGGTAAAAATAAATTAGAAATGGCATAAAAAAGATTTGGATTAATTTTGTTGAAAATCTTCAGTGTATTGCTGCAGGAAATCACTTTATTTTAATAGTGATTCTGTTTTGTTCTTTGTTCTTTTATTCATTTGCTGAGGCCAAAATAGATGGTTAATATCCCTGGTAAGAGTAACCAAGAATTAACTATAATTTCCCTTTACACAAACGTTTTAAAAATGAAAAACATTGTTTTATATTCTTTTTTTTAATCAAAATAATCAATTAGAGTGTAGAAGAACTATTTGTTGAGCCTTTAATAAAGATAAGCATCGGTTTACCTGGATCTTCAGAGCGTTTTCAAAAACATCTCACAGGCTGGACGGTGTTTTTTTTACGGAGATGACTGATGGTGAGTTCAGGGTCCTACTGAATTTGGTACTTCTCCTTTATAGAAATGGCCTCTGCCTAAAGGGTTTGGATTTGACGTGTTTGGGCCCTCCTCGTGGCTGTGAAGCAGGCCTCTGCGGGGAGGAGAGCCGGTGGGCAGTCCCTGCGGAGTCCTGGGGGGGCATTCACATGCACGAGTGTGAGCAGGTCAGCGGCCAATGGGAGGACGGAGGCAGCTGGGAGCATCCTCAGCAGACCTGCTCCTGAACGCGCGGCCGGTTGCCCTCAGATGACCACGCAGAGCCACGCGCAGACGGACACGCTCAGCCCGAGGAATGCTGCCCTGAGACCGGCCGTTTTTATCCAGTTTTATTCCTGTGGTGATTCAATCCTGACTTTACGGCTATACGATGGAGAAAACACCCCCGTGAAACAGCTCTGATCGTTACAGGAGGTAAGAATCCTTTCATCTGATGACCAATGGACGCAGCAACACCTCTGCATATTTCCACGGAGCCAGAGTCCGTCATTCGATTTAACTTGGCGAGCTCTTTGGATGGCGGGCCTGTTTGTTATTCTTAAAATGTAGAATTACGCACGGAGCGTGCCCTCCGTCTCCACCCCGTTTCCATTGCATTCCCTTTGTTTTCTTGAAATTGGAGCGGTAAAAGTCCATAAAATGCTTCATTAATGCTGACCTTTGCTCCGGCGGAGTGTTTTGTAATTGATGTCACGACCCTGGTTTGTCTCTCTATTTACTGGCTGATTGGGAAAGGTTTCTTTGAAAACACACACACACACACACACCGTGTTTCGGGCGCTTGACCTCTCGGTTGGAAATATTGCTAAATCGGCTGTCCAGCGTGTCCTCCATCCAAACAGCAGCTTCTAACATCCACCGAACGGCGTCCTGCATTTACCGTCGCGTAAAAAACAAACGTGTGTTCGTTTGTGGGAAACGGCTGCGTATTAATGTCACTTTTCTTCTTCTAGATTTCTTGCCTTAAACTTTATAAACTCGCCCCACGTCCTCCCCCACCCTCCCACTCCTCCTCCCCTCCACTGAAGGGCACGTTTGGACCTTTTCTGCCCGGTGTGGTGTCCGGCTGATGCTGAGGGAGAGGAGCCACCCCGCAGACATGCTGATGAAGGGCAGCCCGGCCCGGGGCTTCTTCCCGCCCCCCCACCCCTACATGGACTTCTTCCCGGGGGCGCACGCTCTCCTGCACCCGCTCAAGTCCCTCGGTCAGCTGGTGTCGGACCCTCGCGCCCCGCTGACCCTCGGCCTGCGCGGCGGGGCCCCCCCGGCCTTCCCCGGACACCCTGGACACCGCGGCCACACCGGACACGGCGGCCCGGTGCTGCGCGAGCACGTGCTGAGCGCGTCCGGGATCGCCTACCTGAGCCAGATGTTCCCCGCGCGCGCGGCGCAGGCCCGGCCGGAGGAGCTGGCCGCGGTGGTCACGGAGCACGCGGCCGGACCGCTGTCGGACTTCGGCAGTCCGTCCAGCGAACGGTCCTCATCCGCCTCCTCCTCTTCCTCCTCCTCCTCCTCCTCCCTTCACACGCCGCCCAAGGAAACTCTGTTTCGGCCGCGTGGCGCGAGCGTGCCTCCGGAGAAAAACGCAGCGCCGTTCCACTTCAGCGAGGAGGAGCTGTTCACCGTGCTGTACGGCTACTCCGGCGGTCAGGGCTGCAGCGTGGGTCACTCCATATCAGGCGTGACCCTGCCGGCCAACCCAGGTGAGCCTCAGTATTATGGGCTGTAGGTAAAAAAGAACAAGAAGACCCTTAAATAAACCTTAAAATAACGCTGTGTTAACCTGGAAAAGCCACAGAGGCTTATACATCTAGAATGATTAATCATAAGAGTTTTTCTCTCCTGCCCAGGTTCGGACTCCCACGCCCCCCTGCTGGACAAAGAGACTCTTGATCTTCCAGAGAGTGAGCCGGCCGAGCTTTTCTGTGGTCACCTCCTGGCCGTGCGCTGTTCCGCGTGGCGGGGGGCTGAATCTGACCGTGTGTTGCAGGTCTGGTGGTGCTGCGGGCGGCCTGGGGGGGCGCCCCCCACTGCGGGGTGTTCACGGACAAAAGCAGCATCCCCAAAGGGACGCGCTTCGGCCCTTTTCAGGGAAAACTGGTCAACACCAGCGAGATCAAGACGTACGACGACAACACTCTGATGTGGGAGGTAAAGTGACCCTCTGGCCGCCGCAGACTGCGCGTGCACGTGATTCCTAGACTTACTGATGCCCCCTGGTTTCAGGTGTTCGAAAACGGCCGTTTGAGCCACTTCGTGGACGGCAGGGGCGCGGCGGGGAACTGGATGTCTCTGGTGAAGTGCGCGCGCTTCCCGGAGGAGCAGAACCTGGTGGCGGTGCAGGTCCAGGGTCAGATCTTCTACGAGGCCTGCAAGGAGGTGGCCCCCCGCCAGGAGCTGCTGGTGTGGTACGGAGACTGCTACGCGCAGTTCCTGGGCATCCCGCTCACGCTGAAGGACTGCCCGGAGGACAGCAGCACCCTCCTGTCCACCGAAGGTCCGAGCCTGACCCCTTCTCCTCTCACACCGGGACCGTCCCACCGCAAACTCATGTTTTTATTTGTATTCTGTTTCTCCCCAGACTCTGGCGAGGGCTTCAAGTGTGACAGGTGCGGGAAGGTGTTCGCCTACAAATACTACCGAGACAAGCACCTGAAGTACACGCGCTGCGTGGACCAGGGGGACAGGAAGTTCCCCTGCCACCTGTGCAACAGGTCCTTCGAGAAACGGGACCGGTTGCGGATCCACATCCTCCACGTGCACGAGAAGCACCGGCCTCACAAGGTGTGTGTCCCCCCCCCCTCCTTCCCCCCAGCACGCGCCATATAGTGCATGCCACCCTATAGACCCGTCCATGACATCATGGCGCGGCCCCCCCCCCCCCCCTCCGGGGGGCTGAAGGAACAGCCCCGGATGTTTGTGGGTCTGAAAAAGTCCTGTCACGGTTCTGTTCACGCGAGGGCTGGCGTCTGGACGTGGCATGCACAGAGGACCGGTGTGATTGGTGTCACTGTGTTGTGTAAAAGATCTAAAGTATGGGATTAGGAGACGTGAAGAAGAGCGTTCATCCGGCTGCTTCCGGTCAGCAGCTGGTCAGCAGCGGGCCTCCGGCACCGGTCTGACCGCGTTCTCTGTCCGCAGTGCTCGGTGTGCGGGAAGAGCTTCTCCCAGTCCTCCAGCCTCAACAAGCACATGCGCGTGCACTCCGGGGAGCGGCCCTACAAGTGCGTCTACTGCAACAAGGTGAGAGCCCCCCCCACCACCACACACACACACCACACACCACACACACACACACCACACACCAGTGTTTGAGCCTGGTCCGGTGAATCTGCCACCAGCAGCCGTTCTGTTGTTGTTGTTGTTTACGTGGTGATTTGTTGGCTTTTGCAAGTTGTTGGACATCGAAAAGCAGCGCCCTGATTTGTATTTTCGTCGCGTAGAAATGACCTAAAATGCCTTTTATAAATAATTTAGTCTTCCCAAAATGGCATTATATTACATTAGGATATCGAAATAAATGTGTTAGATTGGTGTTTGAAATTTTGATAGCCTGCATATCTATTAGTTTATGTGTTTTTGTTCTGTTCGGATAAAGACTGGTGGTTAATAAGTTTGATGGAATAATCCCGGGGGCCATAGAACAGCTTCCTCTGTCCACTGGCCTTTTCGGCCTTGCTGCTTTCACGGTGGGTTTGGCCGGAGACCCTCGCCATTGTTCCTCGCGACAGGCACGCGCAGCACAGACTCACATGCTGGTCAGAGCCAGATGTGCTCTCCTCTTTTTTTTTTTTTTATGGCTCCGGAATGAGTGTTTAGTTTTATTTTTATTTACGTCAAAAGCGTCCCTGCTATTTTCTTCTTTCTTCCAATTTTCTTTCTTCCTGTCTCCTCTTGACCGTTAACTCCGGATAGTTCAGGCCTGGGCTGTTTTTCCCATTATATTTCTGTTTCTTGGTCATGTGCGGATAGAAAAGTCAACGTTTAGTCAGAGGAAAATGTTACCCGAATTTTCCTGAATTTTTGTTTAAAAAAAAAATCCTATACGACACTTTCCGATTTCGGGGTGTTAATTAAAAGTAAATGCAGAAAAACGGCGGTTCGGCCACTTTTTAATCTACTTTTCCGGCCATGATTGTTCCATAAAATCTGGCTCATGCGGGGAAAAAAGAAGAACGTATTTTCTAAGCATCCCTTTCTAAACTCCGGCTCTCGTAGGCCTTCACGGCCTCCAGCATCCTGCGCACACACATCCGCCAGCACTCCGGGGAGAGGCCCTTCAAGTGCAGGCACTGCGGGAAGGCCTTCGCCTCCCACGCGGCCCACGACAGCCACGTGCGCCGGACCCACGCCAGGGTCCAGCCGCAGCCCTGCGAGCTGTGCGGCCAGTCGTTCCAGCAGGAGCACGAGCTGCAGTGCCACCGGAAAACACACACACGTGAGGGCCTTTTCTTCTTTATTTAGATTATAGCGATTTAAGGCCGAACAGTATCCGAGCTGGTTTTTATATTTTAGTTCAAAACGTTTAAACGTTGAGGTCGAATAAAATATCAGAATCAGAATCAGAAATACTTCCCCCCAGAGGGAAATTATTTTATGGGATGAGCTAAACAGTTTTTTTATTTTTATTTGTATTTTTTGGCAAGCAAGCAAGACTTTTGAATAATAAACGAAAACTAACATGATAATAGTTAATAAACAGGAAAGAAATTCAATAAACAGGAAAGAAAAAACATGCTGTTTTACAACAAGCAGCCTGAATATCTGAGTTTTATTCTGATGTTGGATTCTGTTCATTAATGCCGCAGAGTAGCATTTCTTTCAACGGTAAGAAAGAAAGAAAGAAAAAAAACAAACAAACGTAAATATCGCGTGGAATAGCTGTCCTTATGGAGCTCCCTGTCCCCACAGAGAGACCCGCGCTGGACACCCCCGGTGCGCCCCCCCCGGGGCAGAAGGAGCGGGCTGAACCGCGGCCTGACGGCGGGCAGAGCTTCGGATTAACGCTTTTAACCTCCGAATATCGGCCCTGGAACTAAACTGTCCTCCTAAGCACTGTGACATCTTCCAGATAACATGAGAGGGGTGGAATCGGACTTAGACCCCGTGGTGAGGGCAGTGCTCTCTGTCCATCAAAGCTGCTCACAAACAAGGACTTGTTCTGGTTTTGATTAGTTTTATTTTTTCTTGTACTGACTTATTTAAAGACATGGTCGTTTATGTTTAGCAGATGTGCTTATTTATAAAAAAAAAAAACCCTGTTATGTGTTGTTCTGTGGCTTAAAGCTTTCACTGTTGTCCATTGGTCTGATTTTTAGAGCATATGATCATTTATGTTAATAAGAAAACGTTTGTTTTTTTAAAACAGTTGCAGATTTGCAGCTGTTTGTCTGTAAATGATATGTGAACCCCTCTCCTAATTTATAAGGTATATGCATAATGTATTTTTTACTGCAATATTCTAGACTGCTACAGTGAGCCATGTGTCCTTTGTTGACTTCAGGTAGCATTTTTTCCCCATTTCCAATAAATAATAAATAAGTGCATGGTAATAAAATTGTGATTGCTTTTTTGTTGTTGTCCAAATTCAGCAGGTCTTCCGTCAAACAAACCGAGCTGTTTTTTTTAATGGTTTTCTTACACACATTTGAGCGGTGGGTACAGTGTATGAAGCAAAAGAAGAGAGACGGTAGAGAAACAGCAAACTGTATTGTAAATGATGGCCCAAATTAGAGGTGTGATGAATTGAAGGCTGCATGCCCACAGTAAAACCGAAACACACCCCGCTGGACTAAATGAATAACAATGGATTGAAGCTGTAAAGCCGCCTATGGCCTCACAGACAAAAGGCTCCAGTGTGACTGACATCTGCCCTCACCCAGTCACCAACTGGCCCACACGTGTGCCAGGTAGATAGATAGATAGATAGATAGATAGATAGATAGATAGATAGATAGA